TTCTTTAGTCAGTGCTCTATAGCAGGTTTTTATTGAAATGCTTGATTTTCTCAAAAAGTCACACATACTGTCTAAACAGATCACTTACTTAGCATTGCCAGTGGAAAGATTTGCTAGGTTTTGTAGAAGATGAAAATATTACAACAGAGGGTGATTGCAAAAGCCATTATAAGTCAAAACTCACCAAGGCAGCTCTCGCTCAGCTCCCTCAGAACAATGTGCTTGAGAAAGCAAAAGTAAAGTTAATGAAGTCTGCCCTCTGGACCCATCCTCCTAAACGATGAAGTACTACACTGTAAAAGCATTTAATTGGCACTTGTGACACATTATATTTGACTGTGATCCTTTGTTAGCTCTGGTGACTTCATGACATGCTTGATACTGCCACTCAGACCTCTCTTCTGTTGGGTGTACAAGTTTCCTTCTCTCAGACAGGCTTCTTTTGTTTACAGAAGCCTGTCCACTGTGAGCTGGATCAATGGTGATGCAGCTGCAGTGCTTTCCTACTAACAGTGCCAGCACAGACTTGCTGGTGCTTCAGGGCAGTCACATAATCTGTGTTATCAAGGAACAGACTTCACCCACAGCTCAAATACTTGAGAGAGACTGTATGTCCCCAGCCCCCTGCTGAAACTGCTTAGTCTGTGTGGTATTCTAACCAGTGTGTGTAAGAGGAATGCATGTGGGCTCCATGAGAAGACACTTGGGATGACAGGGGAAACTAGCTAAAACTCCTGTGCCCCCCCTGCCCTGGATTTGCACAGTGATTGAAAGCCTTGCCACGGTCTTCAGTGAGAACAACACATCTGTTTGGGGCGGGGGGAGGGGGGGAACACTCTCAAAATGCCCAGCCAAGCGTGGACATACATCTTGCAGCACTAAATTCTCTGTGCCACTCAACACACCGTAGACTTTTCAGTGTGCTAAGGAAACATGTGGACACAGATGACTTCATGGTAACTGTAAAAGAGCTCTCAGGAATCTCCAAACTGCTCTTTGGAATGCCTTCTTTTTCTAAGCTCCCAAATCACTATGTGCTTCCTGCCCTAGCAAAAGGAGGTGGTGCTCTGTGTGCTACTGGTCAAAGACATACCCACAATAGAGAGTTTGTCTACTTGCGAGTAACAGCAGGTATTGTTTCTGCTGAAAGACCAGGACAAAATATCTGTGCAGTGGCGCCAATCTCCTTGGTACTATAAAGTGGAAAACTAATGGCTCCGGGCAGGGGAGTGGAGGTCTAATAATGAAAATGCAGATTCTTTCATACAATAAACATATCCCTATTTCCTCACCACTGTCTGCCACAAAAATGTTGGTACCTGGCATGAAGATAGCAATTTAAACATTTGTCTATTACACTTATGAGTCATAAGGTTCTCCACCCCACTCCTTCCTGTGTGATGGAAAGATATGCTGAGGATAACACTACTTCTTTCATTGCATTACAATGATACTCATCAACAAGAAAACAAAATAAAAATTTATTATCCACAGAGTATGAGATAGAAGAGGATGGAGAGTATTAGACAAAAAGTTGAAACAGCAATTCAGCTATTCAGCCTGACACAGTTTGAAAGGACCTGACCATCAGAAATAAAGAATTCAGTACTTTATGAAATGTTATGTCCCCAGAAGGCATCTAGGTTTCAATACACTCTAAAAAACCAAAAAAGAACGATTCTTTTTGAGTATTTAGGCCAAGAAGCTTGAGGAAGACATCAGAAACTGAAAAGCTACTTTAATCATAATGCCAAAAGGCTAGGCTAAATCGAAAGCCAACTTAGAACTGATCCTGTTAATAATGTTTTCTACATGTCTGAGGAAAAATAGCCACCATCTTTCCTAAATAATAAAGTTATTATTACATCTCTTGCATTTTTCTTCTGGTGTTTTACTACTTAAAAAGAGGAAAGCTACAAGCAGGAGCCAGAACTAGGTGAACTACAGGAGACTGAAATCCCAGCAACATGTAAATACCTAGACTTTTTTTCTGTAACAGTTTTCTTTGTTTTAACCTGACTTCTGTCATAACCTTGGTAGAAGAAAAAGATCATTCTTAGAAGCTGTCATGGGAGAGTAAATGCCTCTGAAAGTGAATACTCACTGATAGAAACACAAATGATGCCTGTTTGTAGAGAATTAACAGAACAAAGGCCTTCCATTGCCTCCTTTGCCATCAAACGGGCAATGACAGGCACTTTCAGTCCTCCTGTGTGAATACAAAACAGCAACACAGGTAAAAATCTCCTTCTGGAAGTTTCTGACAGAGTTTTCACTGTTAGATAATGTGACAAATTTAAGTGCTGAAAGTGAGATCTTGTCAAAATAAGCATGTGATCCTCAATGTTGCTGGTGGCAAGCATGGATAAGAATAGTCTTGAATATTACAGCCATGAGTGTGCCAGTGTGGAGTAATGTAGGCCAGTTGCTTCCAGAACTTCAGACAGAGTGGGAAAGACTCCCAGCTGCCTCCTTCGTCAAAACTGGAGTTGACCTGAACGGTGTGAGGAGGTCACGCAAATAAATCAGCTCCCAGGCTAAGCAATGACTAGAAATGGCCATAGGCCTAGGCCAATTTCTGCAGCAGTGCTCTAAGCACATCCCACAGAGACATCTGGGGACCAAGGCGCTTTCATGGGATTTTAAGAGCCTGCTGAGGTGGAAACCTAATCTATATTCTTTAAAATCCATATTTTACCTGTATCAAGCAAGTTCACTGTGCCAGTGAGTACAAAAGCCACACACTGAACACAGGTTTAAGTGACACTGTAACCTGATTAGTTGTATATTTTGGGCTGAGCTGTAAGCAGGAAAGGATCCATACAACAATGCTTATAGACAGAAGGGAGGAAGAGAAACTATCCATGCTGAAATCACGACAGACAGACAACATAGCACAGTCATCTATTTAAAGGAGAGCAGATTTTTCCCACTCTTCTGACATGATGCACTAGCCAGTGTAGCTTTTATTTCTCATGAAAAAAAAATCGGAAGCACGCACTTATATATATATATATAAGTGTATATAGAGAACATAATAATTTGGTAACTTCACAGTGGCAAAATCACTTAACAAAATATATCTTCACTGCAGAAAAGTTTGCATTAAAAATATTTTTAGAATTGGTGATTCTCACCTGATAATCAATTTCTTTACCTATCACAGATTTATAACTGCAAATAAGTAATACCAAAATAGTAAGCAACAAAACAATGCTAATATTTGAAAAAAACATTTTATTGTGAAGAAGCTGTATGAAACTATCGTCAATACATTTCTGGCAAAATATTCAATGCATTCACTGCCTCGGTTTGATATGAACAATAGCTTTTGAAATTCAGCTGAGTATTGTTGGCTACAATTCTATTGCCATGCTGACTTCAAACATAAAGATGCTGTAGTAAGCCATTGCACTTTATGAAATCATCTTTTCTCACCTTTTTTTTTTCTTTTTAGATCAGTGGTTTTCATACTCTGTCTGTAGTATACCGGGGTCCATAGACTGACCGCTTTTGTTAAAAGTACTTTTCAGTCTCTGTGAAAGGTTGCTAAGGAAACTAAGTTTATTATTAACTGACTTGAACTCACTATGCAGTTCAGTCTTTAAGAATTGGTAAATTAGAAAAGTTAAAAACTACCTCTTGTAGTATTTGGTAGTAGATGTGTAAAGAGGAATATAATATTATCATAAATAGTAGACATTAAGATAGGCATTTCTGGTGTGCATCTGTCTTTAACTAGCAACCCATAAAATTGAAAGAATGCAATAGAGAAAGATGGACAGTTTTGGAAGAAGAAACAAAAGTGTTTTCTCCAGTCCTGAACTACCTTTTTGTAGTAGCAAACTTACTTAAAGATCTTCTCAGAAATGACCAACTTTTTCATCATTGGATCTAATCCTGCTATTAGAGCTATAATTAGACTGTCTCATTAGGCAATCCAGAATTTTGGGAAACTTGTGCACTTGGCTGAGGTCAAGAGGTCTAGATGATTCCTTTCTTCAGATCACAAGTGAGATTAGCCCTAGTAACTGTCTACTCTGTTTTGTTTACTGCAGGACTGCTTTTGGCTCTGAACAGAAAATCAGAGAAGAGAAACAGGGAGAAAAGCTTTCAAAGGTATATAAAGTGGCTGAAAATACAATAGAAGGCCAAAACCACATCAAATCTACAGAGGAGGGAAAGAGACAGGGCAATAAAACATGAACCTAGACTCAACTTTTTCTGATATTCAGCTGTGTTCAGTATTAAAAGGAGATGATGCAAATTTCCTTCCCTCCATCAACAACTACATGTAGTTCAGAAGATTAAACTGATGCAGATAGGTTCAAAAGAGTAGGAAAATATAACTAAAAGCACAAAGGCCATATAGAAACAAATAAGGATGCAAATAAATTGGTTGAAGGATGAGTAGATCTCCATTCACTGTGAAGTGTTCAGCAAACAGGGAAGCTGAGGTCTAAAGACATATAGCAGCTTGTTTAATCCTATCGCAAATCAATAGCAGATTTTCCAGTTTCATAGTTTAGTACCTCATCTTCTTCTGTGTGGTTTGGGATTTGCAGGGAGCAATAATCCTCAAAGATAATGTAAATTCATAGACTTATGAAACTTTGGTATATCCAAACTGGAAGCTAACCCATTGTTTTCTCATGGTGCTTTCAAATGAGATCTGCTGCTAACAATACAAACCTCAAATAAAATATCCTTTCCTCAAAAAAAAAAAAACAAACCAAACCCCACCACCACCACCACCAGAAAAAAAAAAAAAAACCACCCAAAAAAACAAAGAAACAAGGAAACAGCATAAAATGAGAAAATAACCTTTGAATTTGTACACCTCTTCCAAACAAGGTAGAAGTCAACTTAAGAGAATGAAAACAGATAATTAAAATGAAGATGCTAAAATGATACAAGTATGAAGGAGGAGAGTAGGCGCATGAGAGATCTGAGCAGGGAAGTCATGAGGAAAGGCTTTAGGGTAGGGCTTCTCTCCTTACTTGGCACAAGCCACTGATGCACATGTCCAGTGATTCAGTGTAGCATCGGGTCCCATCCAGAACCTTTGGTGCCAGCTCCACAACCAGAGCTGCTCCTTTGGCCTGGCACTTCAGCGAGCATGGGTTGTCGAGGTCATTAGAGACAGGAAGCCACTCATAAAACTGTCCCTGGTACTTGACGTCATTGTGAGCAGAGCACTGCTGGGCACGAAAATCACCTGCTTCTGGTGGACAGTCCTGAAGAAAAGAGGAAAAGATAAGCAAGTCTGCTTGGGACAGCCAGTCGTAATGAACTGTAGGTGTCTTAACCACAGCCCTGATATGCTGTTGCTGTATCTCTTTGCACTTGTGTGCATATGTGGAGAAGTGTGTGTGCACAGCCAGTCTTTTCCAGACAAATTTTCCTCTGTGACTGAAGAGAAAGAAAAAAGAATTACATTATTTGTTTGTTTATTTGAGCTCTCCTCATTAGCTGTTTTGGTTTTTTTTTTATTTTTTTGCTTCATTAGTTGTTAGGGTAACAAGAACCAGAAAATGTGATACATGTTTGTATTTCTTTAACCTAAGTTTTCATAATTTGAGTAACTAGCAACTTACTATTATTTTACTGGGACGACTGTTAAAAAGCCCCTTCGTTAATCCTTCAGGAGGTTTGTGAGACATATAAACCCTACTCTGAACCCAGTACACCTGATACAAAAAACAAAGACCACTCATACTGCATAAAGTCTCTTGTTGATGAGAATGTGAGGCTCTTGTCCACATACACTTTCTTGCCATTATTTAGCATTGAAAACCATGAGTCAAGTTCTTAAGAGAGCAAGAAGAGTTTCAAAATCATAAGGCTTCAGGCAAAATAAACACGAGTTCTTCTTATTTCCTTTCTATTTTTTTGATCCTTGAAGAACAGTATTTCAAGTTTTCCTGTACAAGCAATCACAAAAACTAGAGATTAATTGTTGTTTTTTTTTTTTAAAGTAACCAGAATTTCTTAGTAATTACAGGAATAGAGAAGGTAAGCTTTAATAAAAACATTAAAAGAATGAGAACTGTGACAAACAAGTAAATGTTGGCAATATGGCTGCCTCAGATTGTTAAAGTACCATAGTCCTCCACCTTGCTGCTGTAAGGAAATCTGCTCTTTAGTGACACCTGGTCAGATATGAGGTGAAATGAATACCTGTCATAAACTTTGCTTGAGGACTGTAACATTCTTTTTATTTTTAGAGAATCTTAGATGTCTATTATAGACTTGATATAGGGAACTATTTTTATGTATATACAACCACATAACTAGACAATGCCCTTTTAAGATGCTTTTATTCTCTGTCCTCAAACTACTTCATCCTATAAACATTCAAGTATTATTAGTGACAATTTTATTTACAGGTTTTCTCATACTCCAAGCTAGGAAAGTCCTGCTCCTACTGAGGCAAAATATCTCTTCTGAGATTTAAATAATCCCTTCTATTTTTCAGACCTTTTTCTACACCTTTATTCATTAACACTATTCTGCTTGTTTCTAATAGGGCAGATTATTACAGCTTTTGATAGAACTGGCATGGGGGCTGCATGGCGCTTTATGATATTGAAGGATCGTCGTTTAGCATTAAAGTCTAAAATAAAACCTGTCTTAACAATTGAGCTTTCAAAGTCTCCTTTGGATATAAATTGTCAAAATCTTGGCTATGGATTTTTCATCTGTATACCTTTGGCTCAAACCCACAATAACCAATGCAGGTTCTCATTCACCGTGTAGTGGCAATGTGGTCTTAAGCCTAATTTGTATTGCACCATCAGAGCAAATTTTCAGTTAATTTGCCTTGTATTTGAATGTGATGCAGGCCAAAACCAATGGGTCAAGCTTCAGCCAGAAGTTCTGCTGCCTAAGTACAACGTAATAGTGTTCCTGCTACAAAAGGTTAAATGGATAAGGCATAAAAGAGAAAAAAAAAAAAAAAATTGGGTTGAATCTTGCTGTAGAAAAATATGTATCAAAGAGCAATAATCCTGATTTTTGAGGAGAGCTCACTGATCAAAGAGCTCACTGATCCTTCCTGAAAGTGGAGGTTGAAAGTACAAGCTCGTAACTGGGTTTTTAGTGTTGGAGGATTTAGACAACAGACTGTTTTTCTAATGATATGTTACGGAAGGTTAAAAAAGAAGAAAAAAAATAGATGCTGAAAGTATTTCAGTTTGATTTTAAAATCTCTAGGAAACTTTGAGGCAATCAGGTCCTTTTTTCTGATCTGGGCAACCTGTTGACATGAGACAAACTATGGACAGCAGCACAGAGTGAAGAGAGCAGAAAATTATGTGGGAAATTCATTATTCCTCTATAGCTGTTAACTAGAGGAAAAGTGGTCTTTATGTTCTGCTTTTAAACAGAATGAACAAGACAGTTACATCTTGACCCAGGATCCGTTTTAGCTCTATTTTCAAATAGAGAAGAGACAGTCACAGAGGAACACTGTGGCCACATTTCCTGCCACAAAACCTTTGGTGCATAACCTTCCCTGATTTTTTCTGTCCATAAATGAACACAGTCAGGTCTGTTGGCTTGGCTCAGGCTTGTTGCAGAGATCCAAGCCAATCCTCTTGTTTGGTTCAAGCTTGGCTCTACCTTCAAAACTTCCTGGCTTTCAATAACTTCATTTTTACAAAGACGGAAAGACCAAGTAAAGCACAAAACTTAAAGAGTTCATAATCCTACTTTGTGCAGTATTCAATACTATATTTGTTGTACTGGATTTTATTTTTAAATCAAAGAAAGAAAAAAATGTACCATCAACATAATAAGCTTTCAGGACACGGCAGGTGACCAGGACTGGTGTTAAATACTTCCAGTCTTTGATATCATGATCAGAATAAAACAATGGATTTAAACAGTAGGCCTTGTGTTTAAAAAAGTTTTCATGTGAAAACTGAAGCCATTTGAAGAATACATTCAAGCAGTCAGAAATGCAGACATGCATACTTCTCTTGGCATGCAGATATGAAAAAGGGTCATGGCCTGGCCCACCACTTTACTCCGGCTGTGAAATTCCAAGTCCTAAATCTATCTGAAGGCCTTAAAGATCCCTTTCCCTCAAGGGGGGAACTTTTCTTTCAGTTAAGAGGGCACATGTACTTGCACTTACACCCATAAGACCTGCATAACCTCTGTAATATATATTTTTTTTAATACCAATGGACAATATTAAAAAAAAAACCTATCATCTGAATATTACCCATCGTTAGACACAAGTCACTGAGATTGAAAAAGTAGAAACTGAATAGAACTTGGCACTACTTACTAATTTCTTTCCATGGATTTTTTTTGCTTTTTAAACTCACAATATACTGCTTGTGTTATTTGCCAGTAGTGATCAGAACCTCTTTGTGCAATTATATAATGAAAGACAGGTATAAGCTGACAACCTATACATGAATATTCTAGTTGCTGAAATATCAGATAAGGCAAAACCAGCTTTGTTAAATATTTGTTCAAGCAGTAAATTTCTATTTTCTTCTAAACACTTTGCACACCTCCATATAAGAGCTTTGCTGTTTTGAGGCAGGTTTCCTGTGCCCCATTTCTGCAGTGCTGGCTCATGGACAGCAGAAAGTCAGAAAAAAGGAAAAAAAAAGAAAAAAAAAAGAAAAAAAATTAAAAAAATGAGCAAGATTTCAATATATGCATGGGTCTTGGTGGCAGGGCATCCTTCAGAGCTGCCAGCTAGCACTGTTTATTGACGTGAGTGAAGTTACATTCCACTCCATGTAAGGGTCTCATCCTGGAAGCTATCTAACAGTATGTAGTTCGTCTATCTGCACAGCAGACTGATATACAAGAGTATGCCCACAGTTTGAGACAACCAGAAGTTATGGGCCAAGTCAGTGTAGTGGTGTAGCATATCTTTGCATGGGTTATGTAGTTCTGCAAGGTATTTTGCTAACCACATCTGCATGGCCTGTGTTTGGCTTAGAGCATGTGTCAGCCCCGGTATCTGGTCACAAAAGCACTACAGTTCTGCTTCAGGTTACTCCAGCTTTGGTGTTATATTTGAATTTTACTGGTTTTGTTTTCTTTTTGAAATTATCTATGGGCCCCTGCAGACATGAAGAACCATTGTCACTGCACTCCTTGAAGAATCAGAAAGAACTAATCACCTTGAAAGTCTTGTCTAAGCCCATTTATCTTCAAGCTTCTTATTCATTAAGACTTTTTAGGGAAGAAAATTTCCAGTGAATAGGAAACAACTGTTCCTCTAACTCTGTGAGTCCTAGACAGCTGTTACATGACATTTAGCTTGTGAAGGCTCATGAGATATTCCTGAAAGACTGAAGCTGTGATGGATACCTATAATCTTCATTCATCCTATCGGGTCAAGATTTCCTCCTCTGCAGTGAAGATATGCATCATTTTAAAGATGATCAGCAACTCCTTTGAGGTATGAAATCTATTTTAAAATAAACACAGGAGTTTCATCTTCACTTCTTAAGCAACTAATGCTGGCTTATTACTACAGCTTCATTTGCTTCTTCACATTTAGTTGTTTTTTTTGTTTAACTTGACCTCCTATTTGACCCTATGGTAATTCATAAGGTCCCTGGAGTTTTGCCATGTTTGAATCCCATTCAAAACAATTGCTATTAATCAACAAACCAGTGGAAAAGATAAGATGAATCCCAGATGTCCTCTGATGGTGATAGATAGATCAAATTTCACGGGACAAAAGAGGGTCAGGCTTTTTTAAGTTTACTTAGAGGGTGAAATGTGGAAGATCATATCTAAGCTGCTATAGATGGAAACAGTGGAGGAACCTTAAAACAGTTTACAATGTATGTGCTTGTATATTTGCAGAGGCCAAGAATGATTTACTATACCTGGAGCTTTTCCTCTGCGCAAAAAGTTACTTACAACTGGACTACTCTGTGCAGCGTCTGACAGAACAGCTTATTGAACCAGTTCCATGAAGTGCACACAGCATTTCAGCTGCACCAATTTCCCTACTGGGAAAGAAAGCCTGAGGTCCTCAATTAGAGGCTTGAGACCAAGACTAAATAAGAACTTTAGATAAAAATACAGAGACTGAGGAGATATAGGGTTTTAATGGAAACTCCAGTTGACCTTGAAGCATTATTGAGAGCCCTACTTGAATTAAGTTTCTTGCAGCCAGATTTTTCACTAGTGTATTCCTGTGAACTTCTAAATAGGCTAGGATGATGCTTAGCTGCTTAGATCCAGAGGGGCT